AAACTTAGTATAAAGATGCTCTAGGACAATGTACAAACCTAATTAGTTTGGGGTAAAAATCTGTTCATATTAATTCCCTAATAAGCATAATAATTCATAATTTTTTGGTTCTAATCACATTTCATTTAAACTTGGAGACATAGATTTTCTGTTACATTGCGCAGACCTCATTAGTTTTACACTCAAATCTGGTCATATTAATTTTCTGATTTGCATAATTAGTTTTCAGCTAAGTAATTTCGAATTATATTTAATGTGTCTCCAATACTCTCAGCACATGGGAGTTCTTTCTAAGCTTTCTTTGATTATTTTATGCACTCAGACTGTGCCTAGATGTATTTTCGCTTTCTTCGATTCTGTCATTGTCATGCTATCTTATTGTAAAACGTCACTAACATGTGTGAAAGTAGAAGACTAAATCAATATCCAATAAAAGGATTTTGGTGTGAAAAAGTTTGGAGTCATCAAACTGTTTCTTCAGAAAATATTTGTTATTGATACAGCTATAGTGGCCATTTTGTAATTTTTGGAACCTTTTTTTTTTATCATTGTGGTGAACTTGAATTATCAATAGTAGTTCATTTAAAAGTGTCGTCAATTCTTCTTTCTTGATAATAGTACATTGTTTAAAAAACTTAATTATTACTGTTATTATCATCTGTCACATGAATTGAAGACTTGTTACTTTACTTTCTAGAGCGATCACATGATCATTTGATAAATATTGATATTAGCCTCTCTCCCAGCATATTTCTTCTATCTGACATAATTTTTTGGGGTTATTAGTCACTAATGTCATCGGACATTAAGATTGTGGCGGACAATTAAAGAATAGATGATACATTCAAATGAGTTTATCTACCGATGGCTAATTTAGATTTTACCACAGAAAGTTTGTGTTTTGGCTCAGTTTTACTTCACTTACTGTTCTAATATTTTCTATGGCTTCAGCCAATATCAAGAATTATCATCCTCAAGTGGTTGCTATCGGCTTTAAACATTAACAGTCAAGTGGTGACGATAATCTGTAATCGGCCCCAGACAAGGCCAATAACTGTGTAATGTTGTATTCTGTACTTTTAACTTCGAAAAAATATTGCTATTACATTGACATCCTGACCTAGTCATTGTACTGACTTGTGGGTCTATTTGAATATGAAAACTTGGTAAGGGGAAATATTCCCTGGGTTTAATTTTTAGTGGATTTAATGTTGCCAGATATCATTGTGTTTCAAATTTACTGGTTTGTGAAGGAAACCATCCATTCGATTGTTAAGTTTGTATATGCACTAGATTTCAGTTTAGTGTTATTAGCTAAATTAAAAAAAAAAACTGAATAATTAAGCCTTATACATTATAGAATATACACTGTATTCAGGCATGATTTGTCTCACTTTCAAGTGTAAATTGCAAACGTTTGTAACCATAACAACAATGCATGTTGATTAAATCAATTGTTAATCAAATACCTATGTTAACACATGCTACCAAAAACACAATAGGGTCTTGTTTAAATCCTTGATGTAGAACAAACGTTGAACCGTTATCATCTTTGAGTGAATAGATGGACACAATTCATGTATTCATATAAATAAATTTTGATCAAGATCTAGTGTCAATGAGAAATACGATCTAATTGGTCTAATTGCTCACCAGGCAACTG